CTATCTATCCACCCATCCATCTATATATCTGTCAATGTATTTATCTATCTATCTACGTCTATACACTTTACTTTTTTTCATTATGAGTATGTTTAAGATTTAAACTATTGCTAGACGATCCTCTCTATTTATTATATTCATAGAAAAGTGGTCTTTAAAGCTGGGGTTAAGAGGTAGGCAAGATGGCAGTTTGCCACCTTTCTGGTCTTTATGCTTTAGTCAAAGTATCATAAAACATGGTGTCTTGCTCTGTCAATGTTCGTCACGGCAACGGACAAGAGCTCAACAAGGATGCATTAAGCTTGCGGGACAGTGAGCAGATGACTTATCACCTTGACAAGCGCGCTTCTACTTCCGGCGAGACGAACTTATGAATCCATTTCACTCGCCTCCTCGAATGCAATCTCAGGTACTCCAACATCGTTCTTTGCAAATGGCTTTTAGACTTGACACTTTTGCAAGAATGAGCTCCAACCCTGACGATGTGCATCACATAATGGACGGGAGCTTAGCTCTTTTCCACACGGAACACGGGAGGACCTCAAATTGGTATCAATGCCAAAACGGCTGGAGAACAATGCCAATCAGGCGTCGTCATCCGATGAGATTAAGCGACAAATCTCTTCAATTCGAAAGTCTACCCAACTTCATAGGATGGATAGGCAAAAGGTAGAAGTCAAAGAAGAAGTAAATCGTGTAGAAAAATAGAAATTGTCCTCTGCCGTCAGACAAAATGTGCCACTGTAAAAGGCCATTTCGAGGCAATAGAGAAAAGGGAAGACACCATCAAATTGAGGCAGGCAGATTCACCCTCCTTCACGCGTCAAACGTCACTTTCGTGCGGTCTCGAGTTGGCTTAATCCTCCTTCATCAGCACCCCGACGGGACTCGAACCTGGGAACTCTGTGCGTCCTGGCGACACGGTGCCATGGTTGTTCCGGCCAAGACGAGCAGCAGGTCGGCGGCGTCGGACTAGCACAAGACGACAACAACAATGCAAACAACAATAGCAACGGGAAGAGGAGAACTTACAGATTGTCGGCGATGCAGGCCTGGCAGACGCTCATGCTGTGGCAGACGCAGACAACGTCGTAGCGCAGGTTTTTGCTTCTCTGCTTGCCGCAAAGCAGACAGATCCGCGCTCCCGGCGCGATCCGCTTGAAGGGCTGAAGAAAAGAGATCACGGGCCTGTCAGGCCGAGGGAAATGGAAAAGTTCGCATCAACTGGCCCGGCAAACCTGGCGACCCCCGGAGGCCAACGACGGAACTCGACCGACGGGCGCACCATTTAGGCTCGACATGACGCCGAGTTGGTTGCGCTGATGGTCGTGGGCGGTTGACGACGAGTCATTTCGAAGCAACCGCGTCGAGGAGGTCGACTCAAAACGAGACGGAAGAGGAGGCCGCGATTTGCAAGTTGGTGGCGGATGGCGAGAATCGGGTTCAAGTCGCAACATGTGCCACTCGTTCTGAGCAGACAAGACATCCTCCAAATCTTCTCTTTCTGATTGAAGACCCACATCAAACCCTCCTTCGCCAACATGATCTAAACCCTTGACGACGAACTCGTGAGATGGAAACAGAGCTGAGACTCCGAGCAAATCATGGAAAGTTCTGCCCACCCTGGGATGAGATGGCGTCTTTCAGCTCGAGAATGGTTTGGCTTTTTAACGAATTTGGCTCACTTGGTTGCTATCTCAACTTGCTTTTCCAACTCTTAAACGACCCAAGTTGGCGCATTCTCGGGCAACCACTGTTGGCAAGGCCCACAAATGTGCGCTGATGCAAAACGAGACTGTATCCTCCCTCCGAAGGGACATGGGCTCTTCGAGGGGCGGAAGAGGGAGATTTCTAAGCGTCCAAACATTCACGATGCGCAACAGGGTCCTGGGTCATCATTCAAAAACTCGTCAAAGACAATTGTGATCTACACGACTCGAGTTGTCAGTTTACGGTGAATAGTCGCCCCAACGACTGGGGCAATTGGTCCTTCTCAAGAACGAATGAAGCTGGCATGGTGGGGGGGACAGTTAGAATGTACGAGCAAGTCATCGCCTAACCATCCCAACCCTTCGATGAGTCCATGCTGAGACTTCAAATGTCATGTCACAGATATCGTCAACCGAGAAAGTATCCTTTGCGAAAATATGCACCAAAGCATTAAGCCAAATTCATGTTCATCGAATTAAATATTGTTTTTCGTGTCTACCAGTAAATAAGTAGTATGAGATGTATTCACACAATTTCGTTTAAGGTGATGAAGAACAGGTAGAAGAAGAATTTTCCCACAATCATATTAGTAGAGCTGACGTTTCCATTGAATTGCAAGGCTATGTGAAATTCAATGGAAACGTCAGCTCAACTCATTTCATTGTGGGAAAATTCTACTCCCAGTCCTTCATCACCTGACACTAAATAGGGTGAATACATATCATGTTCACTACTTATACCAAATTTTGCGATCTCAATGAGCCATTTAATGATTTGTTTAGTCACCTCATTCTTGCTTTACATTCTTACAAAATGATGAGTTGGAAGCATGAAACGGGAATAAATGCAGTCTCATCCGTTTCTTTACATAATAAACCAGCGTTT